TTATTATTATTAATATATAAATTTAAGTGAATTTTTCTTATTTTGAGATGGTTGTGTTTGTTGTGATAGAATAGAAAAAAAATAAGTGTCCCCTTAATAGGGGTTATTTAAGCATTTGGCACACTCAGAAAGTGTCCCCATTCCCTTAATAGGGGTGTCCTCTGAATAGAGGTGTCCTAAAGTTGGGGTTCTACTATAGTAATAATAGATAATACATGTATAGAAAAAACATACAAATTTGTATAATACTTTAAAAATAGATGAAATTTCTACCTATATTCACTCATTTTTCTTTGTGTATATTGTCTTATATTTCATATTTGTTCCATGTTAGTTTTATGAATACTAATAAATATTCTCCTGTTTTCAAGGTGTTGGTATAATAAAGATTATCATAATGACAGTGTTATAGACAGGATATCCATATAAATTCATAAGATTCATAGATAAAAAGTTCACAGATAATTGACCCCTTTCCTGGATTATGCTCTAGCCATGTTTCAAGTAATTCTGACTTAGTTCTCTTTGTCCACCTTGTCAGTATGCAATAATAAAGATATCTATAAACTGATTGATAGTATTTAAAATCCTACATTGTGGTAGCAAGATGTCAAGAAATGTACTATAATAGGCCAAATACATAATTTTAACATTTGCTTTATACTCAATTCACAAAGGGCAAGTATTACATATGTTGCATGCTGAATAATTTTTACCCAAGATATTCCTACCAACATCACTGGTGTTAAACATTTTAAACGTAACTGATGATAATGAATACAAATATGTGCAGCGCCACAGTGAAAGTTAAGCTTCACAACATGAGCATACATAAAAATTGTTTTTACTACTACTATTTTATTGTTTTTGCATGATTATGCCGTCATTTAATTTGATTTGTGAAATTATTTTTTCTATCAATAAATTGTTATCGAATCGTGCTAGTTTGAAAACTTCTCTTATTTCTTTTATTTTATATATGAACAATTGCTTTTTAACTTTTTATTGTTGATCATTACTATTATAGTGTAAACTGGACTTCTTCATTGGGTCACATGAATGTGAGTTCATCAAGTTAAGGTAATTGGTGGTATTGGTAATCTGATTGTCATTCAAATGAATGTGTACAGTATCGTTATAGGGACCTGAAATTGATGTATACTATAAACTTTTGCATTGCCTTTCAAAAATATGATTGACTGGTTTCATTTCTGTGCTGTCCTATCTTGTATTTCGTAATGCGATTGAGTTTTAGCAAATTTTATTTTTTATTGCTATCTTCCATTGTTCATTTTTTAAGGTTTTTATTGATCTGGGTAAGAAAAGTTACAAGGAATTCAACTTTCAAAATTGTATCATCGTAGCAATAGTTACAAAAGTAAAATGCCAAACATATCTAGAGTTTAATATATTTCCCAGCATAGATGAATTTCATATTTATCAAATTATTCTGCTGTTTTTGAGAACATTGTGAGTAAGTTCATTCACATCAAAGATTGACTGAATATTTTGTGCACGATAGAAGCTTGTTCAAGATCAACAACCCACGTAGAGCTGTTTACGACTAATCCCTACAATGCGCTCAACTGCACCAGCAAACCTCAACCATTTCAAATTATTGCCCTGGAAAAGATTATAACCTTGGACCATCAGACCTGTGTACAGGTTAGACCATTTAGAATTTTAGGGTATTTCTAATTCAGTTGACAAGATAAATTAAATATTAATAATTAATTTAAAGAAATAAACAAACTGTGTTATGAAAATATATTATTTTACATTGCTAATAATGAATAGTTTTATTTAAAAATATGTTACTAAGGGGTCATCCATAATTTTAAGAGTACAAAACAGTTTTTTCTGTGTCTTGTACTCTTATGAAAATGTTGAAATGTGGATAGCCCATATGGTGAGTCTTTTTTTATTCCTTGTTTTGCGTACTTATTTTTTTAAAGATTATCGGAGGAGGGCAGAATAAAAATATAAATAAAATTTTGTTTTCTTATTTAGGAAATAGTCTTGCCAAATCATCCAGACAGAGGAGAAAATAAAAATAAAATTTTATTAGTGAATGTAAAATAGGATGGTTAAATGCTTCAAATTTATATAATTTGAAAGAAATATTCATATCTTATCTTTCGAGATTTCAAGGCGGTGGAGGGCGTAATAAAAATAAAGAAAAACTTTTTTTCTTATGAAATTTTCACTTTTTCGTGGTGGCGGGTGCGCTTAATTGGCCAAAAATAAAATTTTCAATGTTTTATTTGAAATCATCAATATTTGCAGTCGGCGGGTTCGCTAAACAGGGTATAAAAAAAGTCTCACCTAAATAGAATAAGTGATCTGTAAAAAACTGAAACATACACTGATTAATCTCAGATAAGAAAGTATAATATATACTCCAGTATTGAAATGCACACCATAGTGTTGGGATTCAATATTTCAACATTAATTATGTCATCATCAGGAATGATGATATCTGTATTTTTAGGAATACTTCATAATATACATGATATTAAATTTGATATTATGTAGCTTAACAGTATACTGTAGGCCTGCTGGACAAAACATAAAATGATTCATATCGTCATCACTGGTTGATTCCTGTCATTTCCTTTGGATAGTTATAGATTTGATGAAGACTAATTGATAGGGCTCCAAATGGGCTGACCAAGGATATTAACTTCATTCATGTTCCATAAACCAACATTTTATTAATATAAACAGATTTGACCATAACTTAAGAAGTCTTTTTTTTTTTTAATCATTTTTACAAGAGTACAAGACATACACCAGTGTGAGGGAGGTGGGGGTGGGTGGGGAACAACAGATTCTTATGGAAATGACAACAGTCATGTAGGCCTTTTCTTCTCTTTTTTGGCATGGTAGTGGGGTCACAGAAAAGAGTGTTTATTACTTTTCTTACTAAAATGATGAAAAGAAATACATGATAAATGACCGCTACTTAAATCCAAAAGAGGGAATTGTTAGTAAGCGACAGTAGGTATTGTGCAATTTCTAAGGTGTACCATGTTGTGTTAAGAGTAAAGTCTTTTGTCCTATTGTATTATCTTTGTATTGTGTAACAGAAGCTTGACCTATACCAGTTTGCCCCTATCCTGTAGCCACTTAAAAATACTATAGAGTAAAAATCTTAATGGTAAGACAAATACAAATGTGTAGTGGAAATACACAAGCGTAGTGGAAATCAGGTTGGAAGGTCAGCAATTAATTTTATTTCTAGTACATAGCATGGCCTAATTCTTGTGGAACACAAAGATGTGTTTTTCTCATGATTATAACATCTCCACTGCCTAAGCCTCCTAATGAGAATTTGAGTATCGTCCATCCATATAATTAGCAACTGAACTTTCCTTTTGATTGAAAGGAAATATATTAAGTTATTTTTTATATTTTAATCAGATAGATTGTCTGCAGTATTTATTAAATATTTGCTTCATTCACTTAGTATCATTGAATATTGAAGGCCATTTAACTTTACGAAGAAAGGTTAAAATTTATAAGTTATAGTAATAATGATAAATAGTAATATTCTTTAACTTCTAACCTTTTTTTTGGTCTTTGTACCCTTTTTTTAATTTTGAAAATATATGATTTATGACAATGACAAGTTTTGGATGATTTGGCATAAATAAATAGTTATAGTTTTTATAGTGGTTAATTTAATAGTAAGAAACATCTTGTAGACAACTTGGGGAGCCTAGGCCACTTTAATTCTCTCAGGTTAGAAGTTCAAAAACTTTAACCACAATTGAGTTCTTGAGAAAGATCTCTAGGACATAAACTAACGTAGATGATGCGCCATAAAACTGTCCATCATAACTTTATCGAAATTTGAATGGCTAAATTTCATTAAATTCTTATTAGATAGCAATCATAGTACCAAGTAACTTAGCAGTTTAGGCTAAAATAAATGATTTACTGGGAAAACTCTAAATAGGACCTCTATAGGGGCCAGCTTCTTTAAATGATTATAATGGCTCAGTGAAGAAGACTTGTATCTGAAATCTATTAGGGAACCATTATTTGGGTCATTCTGTGCCAAATCTCATTTTCTGATAATTGGCAGAGGTCATCTCAGAAAATTATTCTATGTGCAGTATTTACAGTAACACATGTAATTTAAAAAATTTCAAATCATTTCAGAACTATGGTCCATCATACTTAGGGTACTACAGTACTGCAACAACCTCGGCCATTACTTGTATGCCATAGATCAGCTTTATAATAATTAATACAATTACAAAGCTGAAAATTGGAAACCATTGAGATTCAACCCAAGTATTTTCAACAATGCATTCTCATTAAAAGTCGGTGTTTTATTTGAATACAGGTTTTACCACGGACACATTCTCATTTAATGTAGCTAGACAGTACTGCAGTAGCTAAGAAGAAGCTATTTCGGTTTTTAACCATTGTATTAAAAGGTTACAAAATGCTAACACTTTCCAGAAAAAGAACGAAATCTGACAGTAACATGGCAACCATTTAAATGAAATTCTGATAATGGCATGATTGTCAGTTTAACATGCCCTGCACATTAACTAATGATTCATCAATGTCAATTATATCGCTCACGTCATGTCTTGTTAAATAATTTTGTGATATTCATTAATTATTCATCTTACAAAAAATGTAAGTTACACATGAGGTATATAGGTTAGAGTAGAAAAATAATTACTGTACTTAAAAGCAAAATATTTACTTATGTTTTCAATTTCAAAGTTACATTAGCATGTCCAGTATTATAATTGTTGTTCTTATTTAGAAGCAAAACTTACTCTGCATGGTGGGTGTTAATGATGTACTTTATTGTTTTACCGTGTTATGTTTCTTCAAAATCCTGAAAAAAAGCTAGTTAAGTAATTTTGAAATATAATACAACTATTCTTTTTTATTTCTTCACCCAAAATTCCTTTAGTAAATAATGATCAGTTATTTAAATGATAATTAAAGTTTATAGTTTTTTTTTCTTTCAGCTATGTCAGCCCACGTCAATGCAAATTTTGCCTCGCAAAGTAGTGCCTTTTCTTCAATAAAGAATACGCACATTGACAACGGCAACCATTTAAACAACAATGACGTGATTGAAACAGATAATGCAGTAAATGGTGCAACAACGAGCACACTCCGGACCGTACCGATTAGTGTCACAAACGTTGACAACTGGTCGAGAACTAATGCCCACAATGCACAAAACGTTATCAGGGCTTCAACAATACGGTTGCTTGATACGTATCAAAAATGCGGTCTTAAGCGAAAAAGCGAGGAGTTGGATAACCATCAACGGAGACGGACAGAAAAGGTGCACACAAAACAATATCATGGAAGTAGTTTAAGTAGTACAGCGACGACGTCGACTGCAACGACGTCAAAGACAACCTCCAAAAAGAGTTCTAGTAGTGATGGTGATTACCAACTTGTACAGCATGAAGTATTAACATCATTAACGAATCGTTATGAAGTTCTGGAATTTTTGGGGAGGGGAACATTCGGGCAAGTTGTGAAATGTTGGAAGCGCGGAACCAATGAGATTGTGGCAATAAAGATTCTAAAAAACCATCCATCTTACGCGAGACAAGGTCAGATTGAGGTGAATATTTTAGCGCGGTTGAGTGCCGAGAATGCAGATGAATATAATTTTGTACGTGCCTACGAATGTTTCCAGCATAAAACGCATACATGTTTAGTTTTTGAACTACTTGAGCAAAATTTGTACGATTATTTGAAGCATAGTAAGTTTAGCCCACTGCCACTTAAGTACATAAGGCCTGTGACTCAGCAAGTACTAGTAGCGTTACTCAAGTTAAAAAGCCTGGGTCTTATACACGCTGATCTTAAGCCGGAAAATATAATGCTTGTGGACCCTGTGCGCCAACCGTACCGTGTTAAAGTGATTGACTTTGGTTCCGCTAGCCATGTTTCAAAAGCGGTATGCTCTACATACCTTCAGTCCAGATATTATAGGTAAGTAAAATTTCAATTATTTTCGGCGTTTAGATATTTCAAATTCAATATCTTTGTTTATCACTTACTGTACTGTATATTTTTATTATTATTATTATAATTTATTGAAGTACATGCATCCAAGTCAATAGAAAAGGTATAACTAATAAAGTAGGCCTACAGTTGTCATACTGCTAAACTTATTATTGCTCCTTATTATCATTACAGTAATTAAGAAACCATTCATTTTCTATACATGAAGAACGATGCTACTTTCAATTACTATCATTTTTATGTGATATTCTTCATAACCTCTTGACTAACCACTGGTCTGCAGACTTAAAGACGTTCGAATTTGATATTACTTCATTTCAAATTGAGAATTTAGATCTGTATGAGTGTGTTCAGCAAGTAAACATGTACCGCAAAGACTGTATACGATTCATACACGTACATCAGACCATTCCACATGAAACTTGTCATAGAAATGAAATTAGCTTTTTTAATATGAAACTTGTGTGTGTTATATTGAATCTACTTCAGTAAACTGCGTTTCAGTAAGAGAAAATTTATTCGTAGGCTGTGCCTGGATGGCCTGTGCCCTATTTTTTTTTTTTTTTGTGTCATTCTAGCATGTAGACTTTTTCCTAACACAAAAATACACATTTTTGCAAGTCAGTATTTGCTTTTATTGTCACTTTATTTGTACATGTATTTCAGAGCTTGTAGTCTATTGTTGATCTGTATAAGCCTTTAAAAATGGAACTCCATAAAAGGATGTAGAAGATATGAATAACAATTTCAGATAAAAAATATACCAATATGACATTTGTATCGCATTCACAAAAATATAATAGAATATTAATGCATTCATTTGAAATATAACTTATAAGTTTTTTATAATATAATAATTTCAATTTAATAAACAGGTGTAAGAGAATAATAGATAACTACAGTACATTATAATAAGAGAATCAGAAATATTTAAAATAAAAATAGCAAAAATAATCATTATAACAGGTCCTTTTATATGCTATGATAAACAATTTATAAGGTTCATGTTACAGTCTTGAAAAAAATTAGCACACAGTTTTAAATAATATAGATTTTCGAATTTATAAATTGTTAAAATTCCATATGTTGTGAATCTTACGACGGATGAGTATTTCTGATCAATAAATTGGCTACTAGTTGCCAAATTTAGATAACCTTGGATTTCAAATATGGTGGAATACCTAATGGTTATGGAATATCATACAATACAGGCTTCAACAACAATGTACACACTACTACCTGTGTTCTGAAATAGTCTAATCGTAATTACTACAATTAAGCATCATTGTAGACCACTTGGTCCACTCTTCTCATGGAAATATAAAATTAAAATAAGTAATTATTATATTAATAGGAATTAGCTTTTTTAAATTGTTTCATATTTCATCAAAACTTTCTTATTCAAATTATATTTTTTGTTAAATAATTGTATTAAAATACATGATAGTACCATCCAAATTAATATACATTAAGCAATTAAATTGCACACAAATTTTTTATATGATTAAATAATCTTCATTGCTAATGAATATTCATAAGCTCTGATATCAGACAGGAAACACATAGTATCCTTGAGAAAGAATTCTCTTTGACCCCTCTTTGACCTGTTTCCATTTCAAATGACATTTTCAAATTGTCATATGTCTGCATACATGCGAGAATAATTATCCAGTCTTTCAAAACATGTTCAGTTCGATTAAACAAAAAGCCTAGCGAGTAGCCTTTGATGTGGTCATGTGACCATATCTTATAATGAATCCTTTAAAATCAGTAAATAAATGAAAATTTACTGTCTGTTATAAGGTGAAAATGGGAATAGTAATATTTAAATTAAATTTACTTTGTGTAATTATAATAGGTTAACTTAAGAAATTAGACCATTAAAAAAATAACCCCACAAATCAGCAGACTCATTCTAGTTAATATATTGTTCCCTATATTTTTTGGCATACTGTAGTACTTTAAATTATTTAAGGCCAAATATAATCTATTGCCAGTTTCATGTCCCATCCCTTATCATTTTTGTTTTTGTTTTTTGGAATAGGATAGTGAAATAAAAAATAACAAACCAAATAGTAAAATACCCTCACAAAAACATTTCAAATTTCAGGCATGGAACTAACAATTTTATTTGTTTCTAAAATAAGTGTACACTAAATATATATATATATATATATATATATATATATATATATATATATGTATATATTTAATTAATAACTCCTAAATTTTTAATGTGAAAAATAATAAACTGATAAAATAAGAATTTAATTAAATAGTTATAAATATTATTATAATCATGCAGTTTAATAGCAATTTATTGTTGTACAGTATAAATCACTTAATGCTATGTACAGTTAGTTAATGAAAATATGCATAGTTTCTGTTTAGCATTATAATTTGTTTTTGAAATCTATCTTTTTTGATCAGTATAATGAGAATTTTTTTCAATATTTTTTTTTTGTGGATGCTCTCCGATCACCTTGAGACATCTGTGCAGTAAGTTACTGTACTTTCAAAATAAGTCTGTAATAAGTTCACACACTTTGATTCATTGTTTTTGGAACATAGTGAATAAAAATAGGAAGTTCAGTTCAAAGGTCATGGTTATTTGTTAGCATTACAGTGAATAAATTATGTGAATTAGTTGGTTATCTGTCCAAGTATTAACAGATTATTTTGAAATATGTTTGAAAGATATCATATTTGTGGTAAGCTAAATAAATTTGAAATATAGTTCAATATATTATTCAAAATGCTTTGTTAATTTCAATTGGAAAAAGAATTATTTGGCTAGTAATCAATTTTAATGATTTTAAGGTAAATCAATGAAAGCTAAATTTTTTTGACCCGAGTTATTTGGAAGGTTATAAGCGTATTTGCAAATTCAATTTTGAAATTGATGAATTTTGAAAGAGGTTTAATGTTATTCAATATGACACACTAGCCACAACTTTACAACTGGTTCTAAAACTCTGAAGTAGTGTTGTAAATGGTCTTGCAAGTCTCACCGTACGTCACAGGAAATTGACACGGGGTCTTGTACAGTCCTGCAAGCAAGCAAAACATCCCCCATTCCCAAAAAGAAGCAGAAAACCTCCAGCACTCTCATAAGCAAACAACAAACCCATCTCCTGTAAATCATGTTTGTACGGTATGTTTTAAGTTTGTCTGAAGTCAGTTGGCCATGGTTTTCACTGTGTTTCGAGAAACCTCATTTACAGAATACAGAAATCTTTATTGTCCATACTGAAATTTGTTTTGTTGACAGAGCTCAGTGAAAAATATTTAACAACAATGCAGTGAAGTAAAAATTTTACAATACTTAATCATTATTAAACTTATAAAACTATGATTACATATAATACACAAAAAATATTACCGATTATAAATTTAAAATATACATTTGACTGGCATTTTAACCATTTTTAGTTCCTATGCATGTAAGCCAATAGGAACTATTGTAATCACTTTTCACTGTTTTCCCTGTGTGTAGTGTGTAGTTTGTGCTTGTGTGTAGACATTTATCAGGGTTGTCACCAGCTTTTTGGAGTGCCAGTTGGCGATCATTCCCCGTTTTCCCGGGGGTGGGGGGGGTCGCCGTATTCGTGAAAGCTCTTAAAAAACCAAAAGGCCTAAGTCAAGCAGGCCTAGGTCCAAGGCTAGCTGACGCGATTTTTTTAGGCTAGGCCTAGGTAGGCCTAGCTAGGCCAGAATTTCAGGAATGCAACAAAACAGATGAAGATGAGATTTACTGTAGGCCTAATTAAATTCAATAGTTGACATGCTTTGTTTTAGATTAAAAAGTAATAATGAACAAATCCCGGCGATAAAGCGTCGATCCGACTATACCCAGCCGCATTGTTTGCCGTAATTTCACATGTTTGACGATTACCACGATGAATGTGTATGTCACAGATTCATGTGCACTCATTTATTTATTTTTTGTCCATTTACACACATTAAATTAAAAGTGAAAAACTTAAAATACAAAATGAAAACAAAGTAAAGAAATAAAACATAAATCAGGTTTCGTAAATTTTTAATAATCTTCCTGCCCCGGACCATGCTCTCATAATAAAACACTTGAATGGTCACGATTTCAACTTTAACCTTTGAATGTGTACAGAGCAACTGTGTCATGCCAGCCCACGACGTTCGCTATGACTCAATTGGGCCTAGGCTGTTAAGTTAGCGATGAATAGCAGGGCAGTGCAGTATTTTGTTACAATTAACGTAACCACGGAAGCATTTATTGTATTCTTCTTGTCTTTTATCAATTTAGCTTGTCTATTGTGTTTAGGTAAACTAATTATTTTGTTACAATTTGTAAACTGTTGAAATAATAGTGGTGGTCGGGAGCCTGTAAATCCTGGTCGGAAATGTTGGGTGCTGGACGGGCCTGTCCACCGCAGAGCAGCGTGGTGACATCCCTGATTTATGCAAATGCGCATGCTTAAAAAAAAGTTTTCCTACATTTTGGGAAGTTTCTGCAGTGTTCAGTCAGGGCTCACGCTAACCGATCGACAAGTCGGCATGGATAAAACTTTTGGTTTTGCGGCAAAAAAAAATCAACTGAGTAGGCATAGGCATTTTGAAGAAGGCCTAAAATTTAAAAAAAAGTTTTAATACTTGCTGAAATACATCGTTTTTTTCATTTAGATCTCCATTTTTCACTACCTCTATGCGACGTTTTTTTCTGTTGTATGAGTAGTCATATGAAGGTACTATATCCCCAACAGTTGGCTATGCAGCAGTGTACCCTTTGAATGCAAACTGAAGACAAGTGAATATATAAAGGCAGCCGACTGTCGGGTACATAATGACTATCTGGCTTAGGCTTTTCACAAAAACATGAGGCCTAGTCCTAGTTTAGTACAATAGTTACTGCGATGCGAGGGTGGTAGATCGTTAAAATCAATGATATCGTGTTATCGTCTAATGCGTAAAATACATTTAAATAATGTGTATAAAATTTAAGAATGCACCGCGTGGGTCGCTTTCTTTGTTATGCAGTAGTATACATAGCAGAGTGACGGTAGCACGGCTAGGCCTAGCCTAGGGCCTAGATCGTGTACGTTCTTGATCATCGTGATGAAAACTTCGGGTGACAGACGATTGGGCCCAACTGGGTGAACGATCGGGCCAAAGCTATTTTCAAATAAATTGTAGTCTAGTAGGCCACTGCCAGCTCCCCCACTCCCGATATCGTTCCAAACTACTGTAAAATAAATATACTGTATACCTAACTAGGCCTAAGCCTACAAAAAATTTTTCAAAGAAATTTGCTAAAAATATTACTGTAATTTGCCTATCAAATTACATTACCAATGTGGGCCATAAAGATTCCCCCTGAATTTTTCAACCACCACACAAACTTGACCCAACCATATCTGATTATGTCATTTATGATGACTTAATCAGAAAATATGGTTGGTTAAGTCATGTATCATGCATAGTAACGTTGACGCCTGCATGGCTGTGGTTTAAAGATGGCTTCTCCTAACTTGCGAGCCTGGTGTTTCAAACTAAAACTTGTTAGCTACAAAAGCAACTCATCCAGTTAACCCTTGTGTGCTTCAACCTACAGTAATAATCATAGTTAACCCAGTTAACCCTAGGCTCTTTAACTTTAATTATTGTTTGCGATACCTGCATAAGTTATACAGTATCTGACCGTAATGTTAAGAAAGGTTACATTTGATGATGCATTGAATTTCATGATGCATTGAAAAACTTATTCACGAGAAAATTGGGAATTGAAGTGCACATTTAAGGTTAACAGTTTATAATCTAGACTTATTTTCTGTACTTTCTTTTTTAAATCCCAAATATTCCTTATGATAGATTGTATTCTTATATTAGAATATAATTGAATTATATGACATAGCTAAACTTAAAATATATAGTAAATATTAGTTTTAGTAAATTGTGGTTAATAATTAATTTTATAGGATAAGAAATTGAACTCTTGTATATAAAATAAATTGACATGAATTACTCATTAAAGTGTAGCTCCTGTACTGTAGCAATGATGAGTCATAGGTATAGAATACATCATGTTCTGTAATTCTATAGTTAAAGTATTCTAAGAGTTGTCTTCTGTAAGTTTCCAACTTCATATACAATTTCAATTTCTATTTTGATATAATTAAAAAACTGTATCAGTTTATAGCATATTTTTCTAAATTATTTGATTTTTTTTATAGTAAAGTTCATTTAATATTGAATACAAATAATGATTTAAAAAGGAGTTGTATCACACAAAATTTACATGTACCGGGTTGAGAAAAATAAAAGATGTAAACAAACTTCCTTTTGATTTCCCACTTGCTGCAAATCTAGTTAGACCTCTATAATTGTTAATGCTCCAACTGCTTATTATTTTTTCCAGTGTATTTGTAAAGCCATGTAGCATTTCTTCTGCTCTTAGGTCCATGGCACCAATGTATTCTATTCTTCTTTAACAAGTATGTTAGTTTCTTTGAAAAGCTGACCACACTCTAATGGTATTAAGGAAAATCAGTATTATATTTATCCTCTAACTGGTTTACATAGATATATTTCCACTATCACCCTTTTTAGTGGCATGTACTTTAATAGCATGGCAGGATTTAATTTGTGGATGTAGTTATTAATTCATTGTTGATAAATCAAATTTCTATTGGTACATGGTTCATGATCATGACATTCAAGAAATAATTTATTCCAGGAATTATTTTATTTAGAATCTGTTTGAAGTTATAGTATCTAAGAAATTGTATGCCATTGAGAATTTATTGATTTTAGGTTGTCTAAACATAATACTCCCTGGACTGCATGATTCACACTCAAAAATAATAAATTGTTAGGAAATTAAGATGCTATGACCTGCACATTAGGCAGTTAGAAGAAAATGTTGCCCTAAAAACATATATGCTTGCCAAATAATTTAATAAAAAGATGAACATTTTCTATTTTGAAAACTACTCATGATTTTATCATGTTACATCACATCATCAAAATCACTGCAGAGATACAGTACAGTGCAACTGATGCAAAAGTAGGTTTCTAGTAAAGGAAAGTATAGTACAATATAACACTTGACTATATTGAAATTTTGTTTCTTATTACTATATATTATAATACAGTAGGCCTACTTATATCATTCCTATACCTGTGTACTATTTAAATAATGGCTGTCTGAAGTTAACTTACTGTAGATATTCTCTTGTTTTTGTTTTAAAAAAAATCCCCCACTAATAATTGACCTTTTCCATAACTACGATGATGCAGGAAAGACTCACCCTTCCTCAATGAAGGAGAGGCTAATTAAAGCTTCATTAATTAAATGATAATTGTTTAATTAAGCTTCTTGTAGTGTGATGAACATTCATATCACATGTCAAAGCTATTAAAATTAAATACTCTTGACATGCTGGTCAGATATTGTTTTATTTCAAAATTATTAAAACGTTCAAAAGTTGAATCCAACCCTGATAGTATTTTACAACCATATTAATCGCTAATCACTAATTCTCCTATTTATAATAATTTGCCTATCCTTGGAATGGTTAGGATTTTTTAACAAAAAATATACCCTCTCAAACAGCAGGTTATCTTGTGATGTTGACGTCAATGAAAGGCATCAAGAATTTAGAAATAGGTTACAATTTCAGTACTACTGATCATGTTGTACTGGTAAACTGAAGAGGGTTTGTTTGTATCTAAGGATACAGTGTCTACCAGCAGTGTTGAAACGTTTAAATAATGCATACTTGGTGTGTATCTTTCTCAGTACGTCACAGCCTCCCACAAAGTTGTCATGTTTGACACTATAGATACAGTTCCAAAGAAATCAATACTTCACAAAACCCTCACGAACAATGGCCAAACAAGTAGGTAGGTCATGCCACTAATAATCAAGCCCACATTGAATAACTCTAAAGGTGCTACTCTTTATTACCCCTGTTTCAAACATTAAACAAAGTGAAGGTCCTAACTCAATATTGTAAATAAAATGGGAATAGAAACACTTTTTATAATTAAATATGATTTGAAATTTTTTTTTTCTGTTTATAAGTTGACCTTCAGTAATCATGTGGGTCTTACCGGTAATTATTATAGTGGTGATAATTAGTGATGATGAGGATGATGGTAGCCATGACGGTGGTGATGATGCTTTTAATTTCCTTGAATTGGGTACAGTATTTCAGATTCTTTCATCGTGGTTTTAGTATTGCCTTACGTAATAGCAAAGTCAGGGAGGCTGATTGATTATCACCATGACGACAATGATGGTGAATGAAGGCGATAGTGTTGAGGGTGTTGTTAATGGTGTTATGATGATGATGATGGTAGTAGAAATTTGCTTAAAATTAGATGCTAAGTAATAAACATGTTGTGAATAAATACAGTATTATGGATACAAAATGACAGTTTATATAAAAATGACATTTCGAATATAAACCACCGATTAGGCCTAGTTAGCCTAGTTTGGCCTTCTTTCATTATAACGATAACTATCGTTACAGCTTAGGCTGTGACTGTATGTGTTGTTTATTTTCAAGTCATTGAACCCTTCCCCCCCCCACTTTTCCACCCCTTGAAAAAAAAAAAAAATAGGGCTCGACTCACTATGTCTGCTCAGCTGACTTTATATTGACAAAATTACAACTTTAATGAATTTTTCACTTTTATAAAAAATAAAAAGCAAAGAACATGGAGGTAGAATACATAAAATGATTAACTTTTTTAAAATGAATTTTGTAATTTTATTATGTAAATAGAAAATTAAATGCTAAGTAATAGACATGTTGTGAATGAATATTATGGATACAAAATGACATTTTAAAAGGTATACTTACTACATAAATCTATTAAAATATAAACAACTTCGTTTTTTATATCCAATGTATTTTGTTCCTTTTTCTATGATATTTAATCTTATAAATAATAATTAATTTATAATGTTTTTTTTATATTTTTCTATGTCATTTAATTATAAATTATTAAATACTGTAATTATCGTATTTTGTAATTCAAAATATATATATATGTGTGTATATATGTGTATGTATGTATGTATATATATATATATATATATATAGTTGATGTTATCGAGGATGGTTTTGCTGATGAGGCCGATTTCGCTTTTTGCCGGGTTTATGAGTCTGCAGGGTAGTTTGTTGGCGAAGTTTTCCTTGTGGTCTTTCAGGCTGATGAATGCTTGGTTTTTAGCTATGGTGTTCATTCGGTCGGCTTTACCAAGTCTATGGGCGATATATATATATATATATATATGTATATATATTTCCCAGTTTTCTTGTATTTTTGATTGTGAAGTTATTTGTTCAAGGGGGAATGTAGACAGAGGTGCTTGTCACCTGTTCATCCCTTTATTTTTGCTGCTGTCCATTGTATTTTTATATTGTTTTAGTTTTCTTTGTGCAGTGATGAAGCGTAATAAATAAAATTAAAAAAAATTTATGTTGTTATAATGAGTAATTCATGAAGAAGCTTTCCCATTATTTTATTTTTGTGGTACTGTAGTATACTGTATACTTAATCAATGCAAATGCATCAAGTAATAATACAGTATTTGAAATGAAATATTAAATAATTATAATGCCTACTAAAATTATTTATACACATCATTATTTTATTGTGTTTTTTTTTTCCAGGGCCCCAGAGATCATCCTTGGTCTACCGTTCTGTGAGGCGATCGATATGTGGTCGCTTGGGTGTGTCATTGCTGAGCTCTTCCTTGGCTGGCCTCTTTATCCAGGTGCATCAGAATATGACCAGGTCAGTATATATTCCTAATCTGAGATTTGTTCTTAAAGCCACTTTTCATACTTCTAAATAACTGCCAAGTTCTAGTGTGGATTATGTATACAGTACTGTATACTGTAATTCTTTATTCAGTTCTGTATTGTTGGTACCAGTATACTGCCACTGATCTGTTGAACTTAAAAAGAGATTTTTTACAAATACCATTCAATATCTTGTCAAAAGGTTAACAGACTTCTGCCAATTTTATTATCAGTATGTATTTTACATATTTTGTATCATAAAGAGATATGTGTGTTCCATTCTCTTAAGAGGTGGGCATTACACATTATGAATTAAAATGAAATAAAAATTTTTCTCAAAGTACATCCCATTTATATGAAGGTATGACATTGTACCTAGTTATAAATATGTGAGCTTTGATATAGAAATATTTTATGAGAAATTACAGTATCTTATTGTGCTTGGTCTCTTGCCAAAATATTAACTCAAACAATCTTGCTTCATATAAATTTTCGTTAGGCCTATACTTAAAAAAGTACCATCTGTGATGATGATTTTCTTTGCTTATTATAGTAAAGTTACACAATAAATTAAATATTATATTTATAAATGTAGAATGCATAGTTCATGGTCAGGGCACTGCCTTCCGTTGCTTGCATCATTGGTTCAGTCAGTCCAGGATATTAATTGGGACAGTAAAAAAAAAATAAACACTGTCCGACTCCAACCCTGACAGAGAGGCTCGCTATAGAATTTAGGGAATAACATGAGTATCCATTGGCGGCTTTGCGTACGCCCATTTAAAAAATTGAAATGAATGTCTGAGGACTATTAATAAAATAATATTTAACTGGTAGATAGACTGCAGTACATCCTAATTTGCTAGTTGTCTTGTTGACTACTCATCATTTTGATATTTCTTCTGAGGTTTGGTAAAAGATATAATATATAGTTAGTACACAGTAGAACTCCTAGAAAGGGAGGGATGGGGTGTCCCCTGAATAACGGGTTGGCAGTAGTGTTAAAAGATATACAGTACTTTTTCTCTTTTTGTGGCCAAAAAAGTGTCCCTTTATAGGGTATCCCCTTAATAGGGATGTCCCAAAGGAGAGGTTCTACTGTAAATTGATTTTATTGACCCTAATGGATGCTGTCGGAAATTTTTTGGGTTACCTGAGAAATCTAAATTATACAATATTTTCTTATGAAATTGCTTTTCAAATGAGTGTTCAATGATTTTCCAAATAAACTAAAATGTAATTATAGTAGGTAGTTAGCCATATATTATATATTGTACCATAAGTCTTGTATAAATAAATACTCCTACACATTAATAAATTTATATTTATTTAAGGTTTACATAATATGTAATCTGATAGTGTTCTTTCGTGGTACGCCAACTGTTTTAAAATTTAAAATTGTAAATTCTGAAGAGGCTTTGTAGGCTGTCTGGACTTCCGAATATTTCCTTTCAATTCCTTGAGATGGTTATTATGCAGTACTTTGCCTTTTAATAGAGATTAATAGATTCAAGATATAACCTAAATACTGATTACAACTGTTAATGATATAAAGTGCATTATCAATAGTGGGGAAGAGGGTATTTTTTTCTATTTTTTATCCTGTGTACATTTTTATTCTCGGACATTTTTTGTTGACCAGCACTGCAGTTGTTGAGGGTCTCTGGGGGCCAGCTCAATGTTTCCAGTCTGTAAACTAGGATCAATGAATTGCTTCACTTCACTTGTGATTTTTTTAATTTTTATTCCTCAAAATTATTTAAAACCGTGCTGGAAAAAGATATACGATTGCTGGTTAGTTTTCCTTCCTTTCTTGTGACCTGCAGTGACGAAATCATAATAAAGGTCTGCCAGAGTCTGTCACATGATCAACCAAAAGCAATAATATTTTACCCATAAAATACTTTTAGAACATGAGCATAACATGTTTTCATTGTGTTGTATTAAATTGTTTAATTTACCTTTAGAGTACAATTTTTGTTGAGTAAGGGAATAAGCTATGTTTATGAAATTTGAATGCTGGCATTGTAGAGGTCAAGCATCTACATAGTACACTTGTATGAGCAGTTAGTTATTAAATAGGCAGTGTGTTCATTTTTTGTGTGTAGAATGTTAATATTATAAATTATTTGTATTTATATTTAAAGCCCCATTCCCGGCAAAATTTCAGTTTTTAAGAAAAATCTAATTTTTGTATAATGTTATAAAGATTTATAAATATAATACGGAATTGCTAGTTTAACAGAATTTAGACATTCCTAAACATGAAAAAAATGTAAAATAAGACTGAAATTTGATTTTTTGTGTTCCACACAAAAAATAAATGCGGATGAATTTTTCATTTTGATTTTGCGATAGGTCGTGAGAAGAAATATCGTAGGCGCCGAAAACATTAGCCTATCCAGCGCTGCTAGGCTAGGCCTAGCCTTACCTCGATTTAGGTTCTGTTACCACACATATAAACGGCCGACATGATATTTTCCGTTGCTAGTATTGACACTTGTGAAATATAATATTTCATAGGAATTATTTTAAATTTGTTAAAAAGCTGATTCTGACTGGGATTTGGTAATATTTTATGAGAAATAGTCTGTATTTCTCATTTTATTCTTTTGCGTAAAACTAAAATTCATGCCAATATTTTTCCATGATTTATAATAATTGGAGTAATGCAAATGAATATTTTCTTTAAAAAGTCAGTTTTTAGTGAAATTTTGCTGGGAATGGGGCTTTAACTTTATTTCACATGGGTCACACTTACACTCAAGGAAAATTAATAAACTTTTAATAAAATTAAACTAAATTAATAAACTGAACAAATAGCAATTTCAATAAAATATTGATATAAAAATAATATGATTATTAAATACTTAATAATCACTACTTAGTTTTTTTAAATACTGTACCGATAAAAGCTGACTCAAAAGCACAATATATTTTTATTATAATTTGTTTACTTTTAAAAATTAAACAAAATTAATAAACTTTTAAAGGTAAACAAAATTAATAAACTGAACAAATAGCAAGTTCAAAAAATCATTGATATTATGATATGATCTGATTATCATCAGCAAATGTGGAAGTGGTTTTAATACTTCTGATAAGAATAATGATAATTATAATTAAATTAATTAAAATTATCAATAATATGTCAATGTCTATCATATGACCAGGGCATATGACATCCATGTGAGTTGAAGTTTATGTGATAGATGATTTTGTGTGTTGCAAAATTTGAAAAATACTGTGTTTATAAAAAATAAAACAAAGAAAACCTTTAAAAGATTTGAAGCATACTCATAGTTTTACGACTTCATAAACATATGGAGCGTTTTCCAAAAACCGAAAGGTCCACTGATTAATCTCAGATAAGAAAGTATAATACATACTCCAAGTATTGAAATACACGCCATCGTGTTGGGATTCAATATTTCGACATTAATTATGTCATCATCAGGAATGATGATGACATAATTAATGATGATGACATAATTAATGTCGAAATATTGAATCCCAACACGATGGCGTGTATTTCAATACTTGGAGTATGTATTATACTTTCATAAACATATGGCATCTTGTACAATAGACTATACATACACTTGCCATTCAAAGACTAGACATATTGACATGTTTCAGCATATGCCATAAAATTACTGACTAGCTATTTACACAATGTTCACATTTAGGCTCAGTTTCAAGATATATTTATATTCTGTTTTTAGATTCGGTACATCTCACAAACACAGGGCCTACCTGCTGATAGGTTGCTCAGTTCAGCCACCAAGACCACTCGCTTCTTCAAACGAGATTGTGATGCTAATTTCCCACTGTGGAGGCTGAAGGTAAGTTAATGGGATGGCGGTAGTAGTACCATCACATTATGCTCTATTGATGAAATACAATTGGGTAATCTCAAGTAATCTTTTTCTTTGTTCAGTAGAATTGTCCCAAAGTTGAAAGTGGTATATTTTATGTTAATTTATTACATAATACCCAACGAGGTTTTGTGTATTGATGTTTTACAATTTTAATTCATGTGAATTATGATAGTGGTATATGAAAATATAAATATATGTATAGTGGATACTAGATTTTGTTACAAAAAGGAACTATAAATATATTTAAAATAGTACCAAATTCAATCTTAAATGCTTTTTAAAATAACGAGAAGTTTGCTTTGCCTTTGAACTTTTAAATAGATATGCCTCAATTGATTTGTGAAATTTAATTAAATCTACAGAGCTAAATATGCTGATTTTTATGATAATTTGTATAATCTATGACATTTTCTCTAAATAAAATAAAATTAGAATGGAAGGGGATAAACATCCCGGAAATAACCCTAATAGTGAAAGGAATAAGGGGGTAAGGAAAACATGCACTGGTGGAAGCAATTGAATGAGTAAGCAAGAATTTGAAATGCTAAATATAGTGCTGTACAGTGTTCATCCTGTTTAATTATCATACTAAAAAAGTAAAAAAGAGAGTGTTTAATGTCATTAAACTGATCTTTTTCTCCACATCCTAGCTAGTTTACTGTGTTCTCCCGAAACTGGTTGAGTTGCCAATTTTACGAGTGAAAATTGTGTGTTGGGTAAAATTATAAACCACTGATTAGGCCTAGTTAGCCTAGTTTGGCCTTCTTTCATTATCATAACGAAAATCATTACAGCTTAGGCTATGACTGTATGTGTTTATTTTCAAGTCATTGACCCCCCCCCCCCCCCCCCCGAAAAAAAAAAAATAGGGCTCGACTCAGCTGACTTTATATTGACAAAATTACAACTGAATTTTTCACTTTTATGAAAATTAAAAGCAAAGAACATGGAGGTAGATACATAAAATGATTAACTTTTTTTAAATGAATTTTGTACTTTTATGTAAATAGAAAGCAGAGGAACATGAGGTTGAAACAGGTATCAAATCGAAAGAAGCACGCAAGTACATATTTAACTGTTTGGATGATATTGCCCAGGTGAACCTTCCATCTGATTTAGAAGGGGCCGAGCTTCTAGCAGAAAAGGCGGACAGGTAGGTCACTGGCTTAATTTTGCATAGATTGTTAAAAAGAAGTTGGCATTGGAAAATCCAAAAACACAATTCTTTTTTATCTCCACACCCCCTCCCCCTTCCTCCCCCCAAAAAAATTGTTCTGGTATAAAATAACTTTGTAACAATTCATCTAGAAATATAAATAAGACAAAAAACACTGGTGGATAGATTCGATAACTCACACCTGCCTTATATTCTGAGCACAGGCAAGATTTTAAACCCAAATATGAACGTTGACAAATGTAAAATACCTTTTTTGGTACCTTGTGTGTAAAACAACTTGTTGGAATAGAAGGCTTTGTAACAATCAGTGAAACCAAAGAAATAGAACAATGATGGGTGGAGGGATCACATAACTTTTGACCTTTTTTATTTTAATCTAGAGGAATGCCCTAAATTCAGAATGTTAATGGTTGATTATCTATGCGTCATTGCTTTCTTAGTAAACCATTCTTTATTATGAATTGTCTACAATTTAGTAGTAGGCGGGGGAGAGCTTGCCACATGTCATTCTTTGTTTATTTTGTTTTTTGGTTGGTTAAGTATCCTAGTGTATAAGATCATACAGATATATTTTGTGAAGGTGTCATGGATTTTATGTTATAGTACTTTGAACTTCTTTCACCCTTAAAATTTCATTATTGTGGTTATGAAGAGGTTCTACGACCATCACTACAGCAGAGATTCTCAGACATAAAAACATTTTAAACAGTATTTTTCATCCAGTTATGTTCTTTACTCCATTCATAATGTAAAGTATATCTAGATTTTAGTTTTTCATTTAAATATTTACCATTTCATTTACTCAATATTTTATTTTGTACCCGTTAGTTTGTACATTATTCAATTGCGCATTATTTCCGTCGAGCATTAAAATATCAATTTAATCTCAATCTTGATTGGACTCGTAAATTTTTTTGTCGAGTGGTGAGTCCTCAAAAAACCCATGCTTCACTTTGCATTACTTTCAGTTACAAACAGATAAAAAAATAATAATTTTCTCGGTTTTCACTGCCAATTTAAGGGCCTATGCAAAGAATATTGGAACCATATTTTTTAATTCATTATTTGGCAAGGAACAGATAAATTTCAATTGGAACTTAAAATGTTACCCAGATATTAGGTTACACAGCAGTTCAAACATAGGCTTAAATATGTTATTTCAATGCAGGCATTATATGTCTTTAAAATTACATTACTGTACATTATGGCCATGTTCATTATTAAATTATAGCATTGGCTGGTGTTTTGTAGTGTGTCGGAAATGATGTGAAGAATTGAACTTTGACTTTAAGTAAAGGGTGTAGTTGAACTGCCTGTTGTGCAGAAGTAAATCACCATTTAGTCAGATGTTTGTAAAAGGTTTCATTTGAACTGCTTGATGTAAAGAAGTTTGTAATCGACTTAAAGGATGATATTTTGTAAAGATAGCTCGGTTTTGTGTCTTCCTATCCTATCATCCTACATTTATATCGTGCAAAGAGTAATCACTTTAAGCATTATAAACACAGACTAATTCTTGTAAGAGGAAGGTACTGATTAAAAATTAAGTAGGCAGAGGTAGATCCAATAAATTTAAAAGCTTTTATTAATACTAAGGATGTAGCTGCCTGTTTGTTGAAATAGGGAACAGACAGTAGGAATTTAAAAAGTAGAGGTGAGAGGGAAGTGATAGACAAAAATGTGGGAAAATGGGATTCAAAATGTGTGGGACACCTACGATTTCTAGGCCAGCTCAAGGTTTATAAAGAGTCACATAATTTTAAAACACAAAAATGCACAGAGAATTTTAAACAATCAACAATAATAAATAAATGGAGTTGTAGTTCTTTAAAGATAAGGCAATTGTAAAAAACTTACCAGCTACATTTCGGCTAGCTTCGGTAGCCTTGATCAGGCAAATGACCCCTTCTTGTTACAGTTACATCGTTCATGCTTCAGTGATCTTGCATGTAAGTTCTTACGTTAGCTTTTCGTTGGTTCCCCCTCCTCTTGTTACCAGTTCTACTGTTGGCCTTCGTAGTAAATCATCGTATATATGGCTGAGATCATGTCCTCCTTGTTCCCGATTAATGTTGTTGCTTGTTTTGCGTATCCATAGTGATTCTTTGATTTTTCTGGCTATCGTGTGTGGTTCTTTGTCTAACATCTTTGTGTTGCCCCAGTTTGGAATATGATTTTCAGCAATGACATGATCTGTAATAGCCGATTTGTGAGTGATAGAGGACTGAGAGTTCCTTGATGCTCTGGTTCTAATTTTAAAGTAAGTATAAAACACTATTTAAACCAATAGTATTGCCTTTCCTTACCATTTATTTTTCGCATTAACTGTGGGCGGTTGTCTTTCAACCATAAAATTACTCTTTCCTATACTTTCATATTGATCGCATTGTAAGTTATACCCACTATACATCACATAAACAGTACTGGTTCCCAGTCGCAGAATCCGTCTATTGGGTATCAGTGGTGTTGGTGGAGTCAAAAGAGTGATAAAATATATAATTAATAATAATAATAATAATTCTGGATTTATGTAGCGGTATCAAAGGAGGGGGATATAGGCCTGCCTACTACATATACTACTACTAGGGATGGTGGATAGGGATGTAATGTGATTAGAACATAACTTAATAACGAACCGAAGTCTGTATGTATCGAAAAAGTAGGGCACCTTTTTAAGCTTGATAAAAGAATGTGGCTGCTGCGAAAGAAACTCCAGAGAGAGGTATACATTAATCAAGTTTTTGATAATCATCAGGTAATAGAGGCCTGGCCTAGGATTCACTTCTTTGTGTGATTTTATCACTGTACGACCCATAAATCCCTGATGAGCTTAAATTTCCTGCCTAATGTTTTATTTGTTCTTTTAGCTACTTATCCTTGAAAGTTAGCAGATAAAATCTATTTTTTGCTGGATAATCTATTAAAGGGTATTTACTCTATACCCTGATTAATTTTAAGTCCCTGGTACATAATGTGTAAGGGAAATATAAGAAGCTTGGTATGATTTTAGGTGACTCCAGGTTGGTGGGGCATATTACCAGTATATTTAATTTGGTTTTTTTTTATGAGAGGAAGTTGGATTAGCACCTATTGGCAGATACCAGCATATAAAGATGTTTTTGTCGTTTATGTTGGTTTGGTTCGGTTTTGGTATTCTTCAGGATAATCTTACTTCTATTTGGTGGTGAATTAGCGTTTAAGCCTTCACCAGGACACAACCTCTGCTACAGTTTTATGCTATATCATATACTTTGATTCCGGCCCTCCAGCTAAGTCCTACCCCTTGGATGTTATTGCTAATGCCAGGTTTACAGTATTTTCCAGGTGGCCACGGCAGCCCCGTTCGCCCTAAAACGTGGTGCGCTGTGGGATTTTTGCAATTTTTTCTCTGTATTTAAGTTTTGTTAGGTCTTGCTCCATTTTTTTTCGCTTTGCCTTCTTTCATAGCTTTGTCTTTGTCAATTGCTTCTTGTTGTTTTATTTGTGGCGATTTTTGCTATTTATGCTTCCCGTCTCACTATGGACAGTCTCCAAGTTTTGTTACGGCCTATTACGTACTGTCACGTTTTGTTGCGTTCTCCCCGTTTTACTACGGCCTACTAGGTTTCTCATCCGCACCGTGACTGCAGTGGCAAATTTTATGACAAATCTACGCCAGTATTGACAGCAATCACGGCCTGTCACGTTTGCCCATCCCTGCGTTGTCTCATGTCCATCCCGTTTTGTTCACGGTGGCCTGAAACATGGCTTCCGTGGCCACTGAGAATATAGTGTAAACCTAGCATAAGGTCCCACAAAATGAGAGCATAACCGTACATAAAAATGTGTGAGTGTGGGACAAACACATACACTATTTTTGGCCCTGTTTTGGTCTTTGAATGACACTCCAGAATGGTTAATCAAGCTTAAATCAATATCAAGTGTCATTAAAAAGTGATAATTTTATATTATTTTTATTTCTACTTTAAGATCAATTTAATATTAAACTTCCAACACCCAAGATGTGATTATCGCTTTTTCTACACATACTCATATAAATAAACGACAAAAAAAAATAAATAAATAAAATTGATTAGCTCATCTACAGTAAGAAGATCAAATAGACTATTAACTTCCAAAATAAAAATATTGAAACAAATTCATTTTCGCTGATTTATTGACCTTATACTACATATATCCTTAAATAGGTTACCAGCCAATTGTAAGTATTTGTATGTCTGTTAATTGGCAAGGGAAGTTTTTTTTCTCTTGCTGATTTTCTGGTGAAAGCAAATCTAAAAGCAAAGTAATTCAAGTTCTCAATTCTTTCTTGTCAAGTTTTTAGATTGCAGTAAATCAGGCAGTATACATTAAAGGACATCAAATAAATGGGTTTGTTTAATAAATAAAAGGCAACCACATATTAACTGCCCAACCCAAAAATATATCTTCGATTTGAACATATGGACTAAAAACGAAAGAGAGTCCTATTTCCTAACTATATCTAGCAGAGGAAGTTTTACTTGAAACAAAGTTCAGTACAGAAGGAGAAAAAATATATCAACAGAAATCAGTCTCTTTTTGATTAACCTTATCAAAATCCTGTCCCAGATAAATATAGCTCAGGAGATGACCCGTTTCAAACGTGTTATTCCACATACGCCCTATGGCACTGGCAGCATTTCTTAGATTAATATTAGCATTCTGGGTTTAGTGGTCATATCTGCATGACCCATCTGATAGGATTTTTTTTTGCATATGCACACTTGCCAAATTTATTTTTTTTTCTGTAGAAATGTTACTCAATCTACCAACTACCAATTTCTACTTCCTTTGCTATATTTGATATTTATAAACATTATTCTATGAATAGGTACCTAGATAATTGCAGCTACATATCTTGATGACAAGGGTAATATGCTTCCTGAGTATAGGTGGGTTAACATTCCAGCCTGAGAAAGCTTATTCGTGTTACACTGTTTCATAACATGAAGAAG